AATTACAACCCCTACATCAAAAGAAATAGACTATCTTTTACATAAGTACTTTCGATAGCAATTATTACAATAATTCTCCATAAATTCCTATTCCTAATTCCAATAATTTTGTTTGTAATACCCACTTACACATTTTTCATTATTCCACAAATCTGTTCAAGAAGCATCTCAAATCTCTTCTATGTTCAAACTATAATTAACTACTGGAATAGATCATTAACTAGTTTGATAAACATATAGTGGTAACTCACTGTTTTTGTTTTTAGGTATGAGTTAGTTTTAGTTTTTTTGTAAAACTCCATGCTCATATGTATTTTGTTATATTGTGTCACTCTGTTATAGGACGAGCTTCTAAAGTTCTGTCTGTTGAGTGAATAAATAGATAAATAAATTATGAGCTTGTTTGAATGAGAATAGATCACAATTAAAAAAAAATGCATAGATTTGGCATGCATCTCTTATGATGCGCTATAGATGCGGGCAGGCTTGTGAAGTCAAGTCGTATACGTTCTTGAATCCAAATAATTACCCGATTTTCATTGTTCGATATCGAAGCCGCTATAATGACTGTTTTCGATTCATCATTTCGCCGATCCGTTACATTGGAATTTTTTCGTAAGTTTAACATTAAAAAGATATCATTAATTCATTAGAAACTCCCTAATGAATGAAAGGAATATTCAAGGGAAAATTTGGATGTTTCCAATATTGAAGCGATATAAATGATCAAGAGTGTAGTATTAGACATAATAGTAAATAATAATAATAATAATAATAATAATAATAATAATAATATTGATAATGAAGGTCTTCATTAATCACGATTCGACAAATATTAATGAATCATATAAAAGATAGCTTCAATTCAATCTAGAATCCTGAAAGGGGTCTAGAAAGTCTGTTCTTGCACCTAACCCAGCAAACAGATAGACATCTACGAGAAACAATAAGGAAATTAAGGAGAAAAGAGAAAAAAACCTTTGTATGTAATCATTGGTAAAAGACTTCACATATTCAAAACTATAGCAACTATTGACGACTTAGTAACCATTCGAGTAATCTGGGTGGTTCAAGATTTAGACTTCTGATCACCCTGTATCTGTTACAATGAAACGTCAGTAGATAGTAAATCAAAAGTTGATATAGGGACATAAAAGCCGGTTTGACCAATAATGAATAGTTTCGACACAAAAAAATCTTAAAGTTGAAAAATCTCGATTTTGACACCCTATATCTCTGAAATCATATCAGCTAGACCCCAAGTGTGATGCATTGATGAAATCAGCTCTTCCGGGAGAATCTTAAAATGCAATGAAATGCAAGGTGTTCCATTTGAAATAACAAAGTTGTTCCTTTTTTTCATTAGAAGCGGCAACGCCGCAAGGCTGAGAACATTTTAGAACGATGTCCCCCTCGAAAATGTAGTTGACATGTTTCAGATTTTTTTCATAATCTGGTTTTGCCGACCTACTCTGTATATCAATGCCGTTTTCAATTTTTAGTTATTCTTAATGTCAGTCCGAATCTGAAGTAATGGGCCTGTAGGTATATAATCAATTTCAATTTCTGCAGAGCATAAAATCATTCAGAATTATGTCGAAACCCAGAAAACCCACACGATTTTTGATGATCATGTATACTGGGTGGCCAACTCGACACGATGAATATTTTTTTAACTAATAATTGAATGACGAAAGTCAAAACGAAGTTCTAGGGGAAAAAGGACAAAATAGCACCTCTGTAGGATTCAAAATTGTTGAGTCCCACTATTCCGTTTTGGAATGATTGGTTAATGATAGTTATTCAGGAATGGACGGCCTTGTGTGGGCCACCAGGTAATGTAGGTATATTATTATGATCATTGAAAAAGATTTTGTTGGCAACGTGTGAAGTGTTATGCGAGTCGGTGAGAATTTATAATTTGACGCAGTTTCGCAGTTAGACAAAACAAAATTGCATGGATCATTCATTTTTTCACCAGAAGTAGATTATAGCATAAATTTATGGGCAGATTCATCTTAAGAGTTTTGGTGCCCCATGGTATGGGATATGTCAGTGCCCCAATATTTTTTTGTATTGGACCGAAATGTTTCTAGATTCTTTTCTAATTTAATTATACAGAAAAACCTACATTGCTGAAGTATCAATAAGCTTCAGTCGTTATTCATTTAGGACTTATTATTATTACCGATATTATCGATAATAACCACTCAGACGAACTCGACAGGCCTAGTCAGCTCATCCTTTCGTTGTCCACCTTGAAATATGTCGAACAACACTTCACCAAAAGTCGTTCGTTTATAAAACGGCAAAGCTTTGGGATTATTTGCCTATGGAACTATATAACCCCCATAAGTTAAAAAAAAATCCAACACTCACCTTCCCTCCTTATCCTTCCTAGGTACGCACGATGTTCTTCGAACATAACAGGAATTTCAATCAATCAATAACATTCATTGTATCTAAAGATGAATCCTCATTACAAGAAATTTGTTTCGATTATTAATATAACATTGTTCAGGTTATACATACACTGAGAAAAAGAGAAAATAGAAATAGTTCAGTCATGATAGAGAAAACAAAAATAAAGAAACAACAAATAGTATGGCAGATATGATATTTAGGATACAATCAAGAGATAATTTCAAAAGTTCTACAGTAAGACCTGATAAGGATAAACACAAGAGTCATTCGGATCATTCATTGATGACGAAATACCGTAATTTCAGAATATTCATCACAATCGTAGATAATTGTTTCAATAAAACATATGAACGTGTGTTGAGAATATCTATCAAGTCGTCGATGACTTGTAGTTTAACAAATAAATCGTTATTTCTCAAACCAGAATACATAGGACAGACTAGTAAGTAATGTTCTAGAGTTTCTCTCTGTTGCAGATTACATATAGAACACAGATCTTCAGTATTGATTATATACGAGGAGCCATAGAATGTAAATTTCAATCGTGCTTTGCTACAAGTACGAATCTGGGCAATGATTCTGCTGATGTGAATTGGACAGGGAATTCTTAAGTATTTTTGACAAGTGCTATACAGTTTTAGAGACTGGTAAATGTAGGAAAAACTTGGCTGATTCAGACTTGCAATGTCTTTTTTGAGTAAAATTTCCCCAGCCAGTTGTACTTTATATCGACGCTATCTAAGACTGCTAATCACATTAGGCAAATTTTGGGTAAGCGATTAATTGTACTGATTTTATAATGTATATATGAACCAGTCTCCAGACGGACAATATAATCAGGAGAGTAACAGGAATTTCTGTTCGTGCGCTCCAAGAGTTGAAAAATATCGAAAATATCAATAATATCAGTAATATCGATAATTATAGATAACTTTTGATGAATTTCGATACTTTTCGAAATTTCTGTTGATTATGCATTGTTATGGCCTACTCCTATTATAGTCCATTCCACCCACGCTTTTATTGGTCAACAATGAAGGCAATATGCAATATCATAATATCATGACCCACGACGTGGCATGTTTGTTGAAGTTTTCCTTACGGAAAGATGTTCACATCATAAGATTTCGATTATTTTTCGTATTTTTTCATGTCCCAATAAATTCTGAGAATGAACTCGAATTGAAAGTTAATTCAGATATTAGAATTTTACCATCATTTTGGATTAGGCGTCATATAATTTTTTCGTCAGTGTGAATATTTCTTCTGAAGAAGCGCCGCCTGCTATATCTTCTTATTAGGAATGTAGTTTTTATATCTCTTGTAGCTCACGAAAGGAAATACCTATAATGTTCGTGGAACATCGTGGTGTTGAATTTTTGACTTTTGGTTCTTGGGAATACTTCCATTGGCAAAGATTTCCATAGCTCCGCCGTTCTATAGACGAACGAGTTTTGGTTGAGTGTTGTTCGATATTTTTCAAGGTTAACGACGAAGGAAAGTTCTGACTGAGCCTGTCGAGTTCGTCTGAGTAACAGTTCCCGTGGAAGTATCTATAGAAAAGTGAAAGTTCTCCAACTTTTCTTCAGTGGTCTAATGAGGTCAAAGAGTTAGTGAGTGTGGCATCACCCACCAGGCGAATGGTACTTCTCTGGATGCAATTTAAGAGCATCAGCGTATGTTTGGGTGCATATATATACAAGAGAACAGTATTCTAAAACTGTATCTGAGCTTTGTCGATCATGAGAAGCTGTTGAGATGTAAAGTAGATTTCCACACGGCACAGGAATCCGAGTTTTTGTGAAGCAGCATTTGCGATGGATCGGACAAGATTCTCCCATGAGAGATTAATGCTGATGGTAATACAGAGCATAGATGTATAGTGGTCTTGGAGGGAATGGTGGTACCAGACATTGTTATATCAGGCATACTGTGTCCCGCCTATCTCATGACCTCATGGCGTTTCGGAAATATTCAGGGAATATCATATTCATCAGGAGCCCCCATTGAGAGGCTCATAGCTTAGATAAAGGATCCATTTCTTGACTCATGTTCATTGAAACTTTTCCTCCAAATTTTGGCTGTAGCAGCCGCTGGTGACGTTTGACAGGCTAATTATGGGACACCCGTATAGTCGAGAGCTTGTTACTAGTTTCGATTGAAATAAAATTAATGCGCAGGAAATACGAATAAGCTATATAATTATTTTCGATATGTTAAGACCGAGATGAATACTGTTGTATTTAAGTTTTCCAATGTCCAATCGGATATGTGAAGGTTTATGCTGTAATGGGATCTACTTTCAATCAAGCTCCTACAAATTTACATTGAATTCATTCTTTTCTGTTTCAATTCGTCCCGTAAAAAGCGAATATTCGTATTAGCTTATGCATTATGCATGCTTATATCGGCTTATATTCCTCATGTTGTATTCTTCAATTCATCAAATGAAAGAAACCCTGTTTCGCCGCGATTGAATTTATATTACAAAAGAAAATGGAAAACCGATCCGTACCTTATTCATATATACAGAAATTTTATTAGTGTCGTATTTATGATTTCATTTCTTGTTGCAGGTGATGGAAACAAAGAATATGATATATCTGGTATCGGAATATGCCAGCCAAGGAGAAATATTTGGTAAGTAGTTTTTTTTGCAAGATGTTTTATCTGAATCAATTGTAGCCGTACGTGTTATAGATTTAAATGTGACTTGGTACTCTAAAAATCGTCAAAATAGTGGCAGCTTTGAACCGACATTTCAACTTAAATTTGTTCACAGTTCACACATCCCGTATCAATTCCTAATTCAACAGTTGCAACCAAGATGAACAGGAGAGTTGCAACTGTGAATTGGTTACGAATGTGAATTAGAAGCTTTAATATAAACTCATAACTCGTAGTTTTCACAGTAAAGCAAACAATAATAATTGATAATAATAATATAATAGTTGATTTCTTCTCACAAAACATTTTAGAATATCTCCTTCTCTATATTAATATATACGCCATTAATTCTTCTTCCGTAAAAACGGGCCTAAACCCTTAGAGGTATATTCAAGTATATAAATAGTAATTCACTAGAATATCATTTGATCTCATTTGTGATATGGACCCTGTAGGTTGTTGTCAGATTGATGTGAATTGTCAGTCAATTGAAATGAAATAAAATCATAAAACTGAATATCCTTATTCTATATTTTAACATGGCGCAGTCGCTTTAAAGAACCATTCAGAAAGAAAATATATCAGCTTACTCAATTTCCAAAAAAATGGCACCCGCAAAGAAAACAAGAAAGTCTCGAAAGCTAACTGACGAAGATTTTACATTTTTTGATTGAATCCATGGATTGATGATAACGTGCGGGCTGTGGGGTAGGTACGTGGGAATTTCTAACTATGACTAATCAATAATCATTCCCCATTGGTGTTATTCGATATTATCAAATTTCGATAGTACCTATATATGAATGGGGAATATTGTAGTGAATCATGCAGTGAGCACCATATTATGGAAATGGAAAGTGCGTTGAAACTTATATTTGTTACCTACATAGCGACATTCATGAAATTATGGATTCATATAAGATTACAAATTTAAATCCAGGATGATGAATGTCTCATACTGACCTTTTTCAGAATATGTAATGGAGAAGTCAATAAAATGGAAATTTTTATGCGATTGTAATACCAAGATTCGATACAAAGAGCTTTCAGAGCCATTTCAGATTGACTCCTGCATTTCAGATTGACTCCTGATTTCCATGACCATGAGTTATATGCACATTTTTCCTCTTTTGTTGGCTCGTCTTTTCCATCAGTAGGTACCTTCCTATTCCGTATCTACTATTTTTTTCCTACAAAGATTTCCGATTCTTAATGAATCACCCTGTATACCTTGGATATAGAAATTCTCACTTTTTTCACTGACTAATTGCTTATAGCTTATAACCTCAAAAATCAACATCTTATTCTGTTGTTCTGTTCGATCAAAATATATCGAGCAGCCATCAGAGCGAATACCTTTTGAAATTGTTGGCGCGAATTTATAGAATATCTCAAGCAAACGCATGAAATAGCTGTTCCAAAACTAGATTAGTGTCAATAAAACGCACCTAATGTCAGGAACGGTTGACATTTTTCTATATTGAAAAACGTCACATTGAAGAGGTCCAAATTACGCAACTTTTGACTAATTTTATCAACTTTCTATCTCTTACCGTTTAGTAAATAGCAATAATGTCCCTATAATATCGTCGGGACCCTGTATGCTCTCATAGAACGACCGTGGATGCGTTAACCGCCCCCACGGAACCTTGACGCTCTGACGTCATCGCGCCGAAGGGAGAGCACCGCGGCGCTCCAAATTGACGCACAACAAAGGATAAACGACCCTGGACCGAGAAAAGATGCTGGAGGCGGCAGAAGGTCCTTTGTGTAATAGTGACGCGTGAACACGACCTCCCAAATCTTCATGGCCTGCCTCTCCAACCCCCAACATAATGCAATTTGACGTACATACCTTATTATATGACCTTGGAAGGAACGCATATCCAGAACATCCTATTATAAATTCAATATAAGCATTGATTTTCGGAAATTTTAAAGGTCAATTTGTAGAATTTTCTTTTTCCACATTGGCTATGATGAAGTTGGACAAGTCTGAAACATGTCCGTATTCGATGTATAGTTCCTTCTCATTAGAAAAAATTAGAATTGTGAAGAAAAATCTTTCTTCTTCAACTACATTACCCCACTCTCCTCCTCGGGCAAGAATGGGCTTTTACCTAAGATTGAGATGATGGAATAGTTATTTGTGCATCAACTAGTGGAAAAAGTTTGAATTTAAGATAGTTTGACCCGCTAAAACTCGGCAAAATAACTTCCATTCTGAAATGCAAAAGAAATATTTCGCATTCTAGATACAAATACATATCTATTTTGCACAATTATGTTGTACGCAACTTTTCTACCATCGAATTGAATTTATTTTTGTTTCAAATTTTATGATAAGTTTTTACAATACAATAAATGAAACTAATTCTCAAAACACTTGAAACTAACGCTATCTTTATGAAATCACAGTTATTTGTACCACTGGTGCGATTCGTACCAAATCTGGATTTGTTATGAATAACCATCAATATATGAGGTCGATTTTTTATGAAATCATATCAGGATTTTTTCGCAGGAAAACTAACTTCATATTATTGTTCCTCAGGCTTTCGAACGTCCATATGCATATCCCAATTCCGAATAAATAAGATTGTACGACGCGTCTGAACTGCAATCCCTAAAAAACTTATTTTTCCGTCGACCTCGTATTAACGACTAAGTTTAATGTATATGAAATCGTTCATTAATGACCCCTATTAATGAACGATTTGTCTATTAATGTACGATTGTTTTATAGGCAACCAAACATACACCGCGTGCATTCATTGTTTATGCTATAACTTACGGAATCTGCATTTAAATCGAAAATATGGATTTCATTGAAGATTTTCTGTTAACGGGTTCACCTTTCCAAGTTTCTGACACGATTTTAATCCCTGTTTTCTAACACAAGTAATTTATTTTCTATGTTGATCATTTCGACAAATGTCAAATGACACTAATGTTAGTGACAAGGCTACTGGGTGATTCTTAGCAGTTTCCAGATGAATGATGAATTCGCGAACCATGTTTTCTTCATTGCAGGAGAAATGAGAAATATAGTCGACGGAAAAATTGTGTAACCAACTTGTATATTAAAAAGCGATTAATGATCTCGAACATTAACGCGCTCGCTTCGCTCGCACGTTAAAATATCTCGATCATTAATCGCCCTCATTAATAAACTAGTTGGTTAAATAACTATTTTTCATGAATATTTGCTTAATTTACAGTTGCAACTGTTTTGGCAGAAGAAACTTTTTTCAAATATCTCCTAATTTACAGTTACAACTGTAAATTAGTGATTATTTACAGTAAACAATTATTTACGTTCGCAAGAATGCTATTTATATGTGCTTTTTTATTTGAAACCCTTCAGAGAAATCATCTGAACATTTACATATGGGAGATTGAAACCATGAAGAACAATAGGGGTATTATGAGGGAAGTTTTCCTGTAAAAAAATCCTAATATAATTTCATAAATAATGTATCCCTTTTTTCACTTCTATAAACACGCACGTCACTGACAATAATGATGTTCCTCTTGTTTGTTAAGAATTGCACGACTAATAGTTGAGATAAAGAGGAGGCCCGTTTGAATTGAGACACGCTGTATATTGTGAATATTTTACTTGTAATCATTACTCACAGTCGGCATCAAAATCTCCGATAATTTTCAATTTTGCTTGAAAATAAATGGTGGTTAAAAATTTTGATATTTTGGCGGTCTTCGTAAACCAGCTCATTCGCCAAAATATGGAAGCGAAACAAGTATCGTATAATGTAATTTTTGAAAAGGCATTCAGATGCCAAATTGTCTGTTCTGGTACAAAATTGTAATTGATGTGAAAAAGTGAGAATTAACGGGATGATGTTCGTTTTAAATTGTGAACCCTGTAAAATATCTCACAAATAAGCGAAATATTATCGGAAATATTGACGCTCTACCATACTGACCTACTGAGTTCGCAAAGGAGGCATTATCCCCTTTCATTTGCCTTTCCTCTGAACTCGTTATCACAATATGACGGAGGTATGTCCGAAGGTAGGTTTTAGAGCAAATTTCAAAGGATATCAAAAATATTTTTGGCCTGAAGCTTCTAGTTCGGGAGGTACAAATGATGTTTTTCCTTTTTCTCAATATCAAGTAGGCAGATAATAGATATTAATTAACATATCGTCAAATATGACGAATATGCACGAACAGAAAGATAATATTGAGACTGGGAATGATTTTGATTTCGGTAGTCGTTGAGGGTATAGGAAAGTAGCAGCTACTGGACCATGAGCTTTAGACCTAATGAATTATGCAATTTTGAAATGTTCTCATTAGGATGAATATATCAGAATGTGAACATTGAGACTTGAGAGGGTATTTCATTAAAAAAAATATGTTCGACATGCTCTGGGATGCGAAAGTCAATATAGAAGTGAAGTGTTGATATGTCAAAAGTCAAAATGTGACCCTGCTTATTCAGGACGATTCACTTATAAGATTCGAATGAAAAGTGGGGTTTCATCTAACCATCTGAGAAAGTGCCTGTGAAATTCGAGATCCGACGTCATTTATTTCTGCTAATTATTCATTCGTACTGAAATCTCCAGAGTAGAGACCTTATATACGTACTCGTGCGCACAGATCGTGCAAAATGTTCTTTGAAATGAAGTTCAACTTCGCAGGAATATTGCGATATGATTATATCATAATTATGGAATGAAAATTTTGCGGAGTGTGTTCGAGAATATACGGGCGAGTAAGAATAAGACCGACAAACTTCGTACAGCATGGATTCCTTACGTCATTTTGAAGTGAAAGATTTCAATCAGTATATGTCCTAAAATGCATCCTATCCGAGATATAGACATAGTGTGAAAAGTACGATTAAGGTTTATTCGGGTTTATAATAATTTCTTCGAAACCCCTACAGAAAAACAATTGAAACTCGTATACTATTCCAGATTGATCAATGTATCGATATAAAC